TGTGCCCAGCCACGCCAGCCAGTCAGCCAGGTGAGCAGCCAGGGCAGGTGCGGGCGGGGAATGGGGACCGACAGAGCTGGAGCAGGCCCACCCGGCGTTCATGTGCTTTTTAAAGGACTCAGATCCCTGTCTCGCCCTCAGCCTGCGGGGGCTGGTTTTGGGGCACGGTCCCCGCGGGGCCGCTCGGGCAGCTCACAGGGGCTGAGCGCACACTGCCTCTGCACCCGGCAGGTTCAACAAACACCTGGACCGCGGCTTTAACTCGTGCGCGCGCAGCGACCTGTACTTCGTGCCGCTGGAGGGCTCCAAGCTGGCCAAGAAGCGCGCCGACCTGGTGGAGAAGGTGCGGCGCGAGGCCGAGCAGCGCGCGCGCGAAGAAAAGGAGCGCGAGCGCGAGCGGGAACGCGAGAAGGAGCGCGAGCGCGAGAAGGAGCGCGAGCTGGAGCGTAGCGTGGTGAGTGCGTCACCGCGTGCGCCGCCCTCTTTCTGGCCCGCCTGCTCGCCCGCCTTCTGCGCCGCGCAGGGAGGCTCGAGGGGTGGGGGCGTCATCGCGCCACCTGTCAGAGAGGAGGAACCACTGCATCCCAGGAAATGGAGACTAAAGGATTCCAGCGGGAGGGATCAGTGCGTTCCTGGGTTGGGGGAAGGCAAGCTCAGGTCAGACTACCTGTGGATCGTAGGGAGAGCCAATATCCACGAGAAGAGGGTAGCGAAGTTCCTGGAAAGCTGAGTGCCAATAATGTCAGGCATTTTGGCATTCAGCTGATGAGACAAATGAGCAGCTCAGGACCAGCCACCTCTCTCCAGATCTGCCCTTTTGAGTCCGCTTCTCTCTGTATCCCACAGAAGTTGGCTCAGGAGGGCCGTGCTCCAGTGGAGTGCCCATCTCTCGGCCCAGTGCCCCATCGCCCTCCATTTGAGCCGGGCAGTGCTGTGGCTACAGTGCCCCCCTACCTGGGTCCTGACACTCCGGCCCTGCGCACTCTCAGTGAATACGCCCGGCCCCACGTCATGTCTCCTGGCAATCGCAACCATCCATTCTACGTGCCCCTGGGGGCGGTGGACCCGGGGCTCCTGGGTTACAATGTCCCGGCGCTGTACAGCAGTGACCCAGCAGCCCGGGAGAGGGAGCGGGAAGCCCGTGAACGAGACCTCCGTGACCGCCTCAAGCCTGGCTTCGAGGTGAAGCCCAGTGAGCTGGAACCCCTGCACGGGGTCCCTGGGCCAGGCCTGGATCCCTTCCCCCGACATGGGGGCCTGGCTCTGCAGCCTGGCCCACCTGGCCTGCACCCTTTCCCCTTTCATCCGAGCCTGGGGCCCCTGGAGAGAGAACGACTAGCGCTGGCGGCTGGGCCAGCCCTGCGGCCTGATATGTCGTACGCTGAGCGTCTGGCAGCTGAGAGGCAGCACGCAGAACGGGTGGCAGCCCTGGGCAATGACCCGTTGGCCCGGCTGCAGATGCTCAATGTGACCCCCCATCACCACCAACACTCCCACATCCACTCCCACCTGCACCTCCACCAGCAGGATGCCATCCATGCAGGTGAGACTTCGACTTCTTTGCCTTGGCCTCTTGGGGCCACCTTGCCCCCTGGCAAGTGATTGGGCTCTTCTGTTCCTGAGGCCAAGACGTCCCTCCCTAAGTGTGGCACGAGCCTCTCTCCTGAGATTGCTGCCCACATCTTTGCCTTCCTGTCATCTGCCAGCCTGTCTCCTCATGCCCTAAACTCGCTACAGAGACTATAATTTTCCAGCCCTCGGCTCTCTTCCAACTCTAGCAGCCCACCCGTGATAAAGACCCAGCTGGAAACCTTGGAAGGAACAACACTTTTATACCCTCACAGCCCCTCTCCCCGAGCCCTTCTCATGCCCATTTTCTTGCTTGTCTGGATTTGACTCTTGTTGTTTCTTGCCATCTTCTCCTCTCCTCCCAGGTGGAGGTCTTTCATGTTCCACCCCATCTCTAGATCTGTGACCTTCCAGAAAGAGCCCTGTGGCTTTGCTTGTGGGGGTCATAGGTGATATGAGCTTTCCTTACTATCCTTTCACCATATTTCTCATTGTCCAGAACACTGCCCAGTCTAACCTTACAAACACGTTCATTCCAGGCTCTCTTGTGCTTTCTCTCTTAACCTCCTCTCTCTTCCTGTCTCATTTCCCAAACTTTCTATCCTCTTCCATCTCTCCAAGCAGTGTACTTCTTTCTTTCCTTTTTCTCAGACCCCTCTGACAACTGTAATTTGTCCTCTGCCATCCATGTGTCCTACTCCAGTAGGGTCTTGTCCTGTCCATCCCCCAGGCCCCCAGTTCTTCCATTGTGCCTCCTTGTTCCATTCTGGATCTCCCTGTTTTTGATTGTCCATCTCTCTTCCCAGGCTTGGCTCCCTTCACCCAAATGCATGCTTTTCCCCCAATTCTGCCTTCTGGTGACACCTTCCTCTTCTCTGCCCTCCAGCCTCTGCCTCGGTGCACCCTCTCATTGACCCCCTGGCCTCAGGGTCTCACCTTACCCGGATCCCCTACCCAGCCGGGACCCTCCCCAACCCCCTTCTTCCTCACCCTCTGCACGAGAATGAAGTTCTTCGTCACCAGCTCTTTGGTAAGGATGGAGGTTGGAGGTGGGGAGGGTCTAGTGAAAGAAGGGCAGAAAGGAGGAATTTGGGTGAGATTGGCCTAGTTGGGCTTGGGGAGGGATGAGGAGGTGCCCAGAGGAACCAGGATGGAAGTAGGAGGGCTGAGGCCCTGCCCAAGAGAGGCACAGGTTTTAGTGCCAGGCTAAGAGGTTTGAATTCTAACCACTGGCAACTTGCAGGACTGGCTGTTTCCTAACCTTTTTAGTCTCAGTTTCCTCTGTATGTAAAGTGGCTGGCTCTCTCCTGGCCCAGAGTAAGTATCTGTACCCCATCAGTCATGTGCCTCCTGCTCTTTCTGCCCACAGCTACTCCTTACCGGGACCTGCCAGCCTCCCTCTCTGCCCCGATGTCAGCAGCTCACCAGCTGCAGGCCATGCACGCGCAGTCAGCTGAGCTGCAGCGCTTGGCGCTAGAGCAGCAGCAGTGGCTACATGCCCATCACCCGCTGCACAGCGTGCCCCTACCTGCCCAGGAGGACTACTACAGGTACTACGGCACCCCTTGGCAGGGAGTGAGGGGATGCAAGCTCAGCTGGCCTGGCAGCTGGCAGGGTGTGGGCATGGTCCAGCTGGGCACTAGGCTCCTGGGGGAGGGAGACCTGGCCCTTCTCTTCCACCATCCCCCTCTGTGAGAGGGGCCAGGTCAGGGTCGACCTCAGTCTCTCCTCTCTCTGCTCTGTACCCCCTCTCCCCTAGTCACCTGAAGAAGGAAAGCGACAAGCCGCTGTAGAACCTGCGATCAAGAGCACCCATGGCCCCTGCATCTGGACCTTGGAGGCCTCCTTCCAGGCCTGCCACCCAGAGCCGAGGAGGGGTGCTGCTCAGTTGAAGGGCCTCGCAGCTGAGCAGAGGGAGGGAGGATGGGACAGATGGAAGTCCAAGGCTCCTGTGGTGTGCCGCGGTGGGGAGGTAGTGGGGGTGGGGGCAGAAAGCACACAGTATCTTGGACCAGGTCCTTTTCCCTTGTCCCCCTGCTTTCTTCCTCCCCCATGCCCAACCCCCAGTGGCCACCACCCCTCCCCCACCCCGTTGGTGTGATTATTTCATCTGTTAGATGTGGCTGTTTTGCGTAGCATCGTGTGCGGCCCCTGCCCCTCCTCAGTCCCTTTGTGTGCGCGCCCCCTCTGCGATGTATGTCCCTTGCCCCTCCCCCACATTAATAATTTATATATATAAATATCTATATGACGCTCTTTAAAAAACATCCCAACCAAAAACAACCAAACAAAAACATCCTCACGACTCCCCAGGAAGATGGCTGTGACTGGTTCTTTGCGGGCTATGGTGGTGGGCTTGGGATGGGGGCTGGGGTCTCTGCGCAGGGGTCCCTGGAGAGGAAGCTGTGGAACCGGAGAGGCTGGCAGGGAAGTGGGAAGGGACGGACCTTCTGAAGATACTGAGTGTAGGGACCCTGGAGAGTTGGAGACGGGATCTCAGAAGAGCCCGGGGCCCTGGAGCCCTGGCTTCCTAGTGGGGGTCCTCCCGGTGCCAATCTCCTCCTTCCTCCCAAGGCTGGGAAATGGAGATGCTGGAGGCCTGGGACAGGCACGCTTCGGACGTGGTCGGGTCTGAGAACGTTTTTGCAACTGGTCACACGGCTAGGAGCCACCAGAGTCCTGAATCCTTTCCGTGGAATGGCTAGAGAAACGGTTATGAGGCGGAGGGGCAGGGGCCGTAGTTTCGGTGGGTTACAGCGATTGGAATCCTATGGTTTGAGGAAGGAGCGAGTGACAACTTCAAGCTTAGAAAAGAAATTAGAGGGCGTACCGCTGCAGCTAACACGGCATCACAAGGCCATTTTAGGAAAGCGCGAGAGGTACTCTAGCTCCAAGCTTTTACTGCTGCGAGTCGCTGTCTCCGTTCTTAAAAACTAAAGGGGTGTGACTGGCTTCTTTCTCAGCCAATCAGCATCGGTCTCATTTGCATAGAGCCTTAACAAACGTTCACAAACTCGAGAAATCAATGATATGAGTAAGTTCCTTAGAATACTGCTTTTCCTTCTGAAAGTTACACTGTGCCTCGCTGCTTATACAGTAGGAATTAGAACCCCGCTCTGAGCTCACCCTCACCGATAGTGGAGTTCCTGGCTGTGCCGCCTTCTCTCCAGGCTTTTCTTTTCAGTGTTACAGCTCTTTTAGAATTTGTCTAGTAGGTTTTCTGGTTGTCACTGGAAAACCCCATCACAGCTCGTTTTCAACAATAGAGTTAGTTGAAATGGGGTGGTGTCTACTTGTCCATCGTACTCGAGTATTAGAAATTCGCATTTAGTGGTTTTTTTCCGTTGCCAGGAAGTCCCAGCAGGGAGGCTAGCGCTACGCGGAGAGGCTTCCGGCTACGCTGATGCGCTTCCCCTCCGCCCGCATCCCCGAGAGCCGCTGCAAGAGAACCCTCTTTTTCTTTGAGCGTTAAGTTGGTTCCGCCGCACGTGCGGTTTTTGTTGCCGTATGGCGTCCGCCTCGGCCCAGCCCGCGGCCCTGAGCGCCGAACAGGCCAAGGGTGAGAAGCATGCTCGTCACAGGGTGGGCGGGCTGCCTGCGCAAGGAGGGTGCAGGCGGAGGATACGGAGCGAGAGCTGTGGTTGCATCGCCGGGGAACGGGGGCGAGGGGTGCCGTCCTTACTCTTCCAAGAGGTGGTCCTTGCCTACTAGAGCGAGGGATTCGGGAGTCGAATTTGTCGGGTTACTATGGCTTCAGTCCACTAATTAATTCCTTGCCCTCTTCCCTGCGCTCTTGGCTGGGCCCGCCGGCCATGCTCCGGCGCCTACCCCGGACGCCTCCCTGGGATGCATCTGCGGCACAGTGGTCCTGGCCGAGGTAATCCAGGCGTTCTCGGCCCCAGAGAACGCCGTGCGCATGGACGAGGCTCGGGACAACGCGTGCAACGACATGGGCAAGATGCTGCAATTCGTGCTGCCCGTGGCCACGCAGATTCAGCAGGAGGTTATCAAAGCCTATGGTTTCAGCTGCGACGGGGAAGGTGGGTCGCACGGAGGTCGGGGAGAGGGCGCTGTATCCGTCGGGTCCCTGAGCCGTCGTCCTCCTTCTCGCCACACGGCGGCAGTCACCATCTGACTATTAGCACTCAGAGCCCAGGGTCTACTCCGAACTTGTGCCAGGCGATGCCCCAGGTGCGTTTTGTCGTTACCGTAAGTGGTGATATGGTTATCCCATGTTAGGATGAGGAAACAGACTCTAGCAGTAAACTAAGTGCCCGAGGTCACAGCAGAGCTGGACCTGAACCCCTTCTGAGAGCTTTTAGTGATATGTCTGCATGTCAGTGGGCTTCTGCAGCCCATCCAAGGTGTTTCAGCTAATCTCTGTTTGAGGGTCAGCAGTTCAATTCCGTTGAGATCATGGTGTTCCCCAAGGATGTTGTTTGACTCAGCCCAGCTGGCCCAGGGCCCTCATGTGTCCTGGTTATATAGACTTGGGATCTCATGGCTGTTCATACTTTTGGTTCTTGTGACTAAATTGCTAAAATGGTTCACCTGATAGTGAGAAGCGCACTGCTTGGGATATCTTTGTTACTTGCATCCTATCCAGTTGTGCCTGGTGTAGACCAGGAAGTGGTTGATCCGAACCACACAGGGTAGGGGCCTGCATGTGTCTTGTGTTTTGCAGACAGCTACCTGGCCAGAGGAGGCGCAGCCAGTGACTCATGCTCCAGCTGCTCCCCCCTGCCATCTTGGGCACACCCGTCCCCTTGGGGTGTGGGCTGACGCTCCACTCCCCTTTGCAGGTGTCCTCAAGTTTGCCCGCTTGGTCAAGTCGTATGAAGCCCAGGATCCTGAGATTGCCAGCCTGTCAGGCAAGCTGAAGGCACTGTTCCTGCCCCCTATGACACTGCCACCCCACGGGCCTGCTGCAGGTGGCAGCGTGGCCGCCTCCTGAGGGTTGGCTCTCCCCTGTGACACTGCCTGGGAAGGGAAGATGTTGGTGTTCCAGAGGATAATAAACCTGCCTGTGACTTAGCCTCCGTGTCAGTCTTTTGTGACCCTGACAACCCCCACCTCCTGGCCCCAGATTCCCTCTGCCATTCCAGGCTGCTCCATTTCCCTGTCCAGATCCTTCCTATGCTCCTGTGGGGCCCAACCCTCCTCCAAGACAGGGTGGGAGGATGCGGGTCCCTCAAAATGCTGGGTGAGTGGGCCTGCACAGGTGGCACCTCCTCTGAGGAGTGGGGTTTCCTGGCTTCCTGAGGCCTTTTGGCTTCTGTGCATGGAGAGACTCCCCCGTTGGTTTGTGTTCCCTTGGCCAGGGTTACTTCCTGGTCTTTGCTTCCACCCGCCCTCCCTCTGTCAGCTTGAGCGCCAGGTGGAGCTCCAGGTGGCTCCTCCCATCCCAAGGGAGGGAGGCCCTGGACAGGCAGGCGGGCCCTGGACTACCGAGCAGGGCTGGAGGGAGAAGCAGGCTGCTGTAGGCGGTGTGAGGCCAGTCCCGCCCCACCTGTCCCTTTTCCGGGGATCATTAGTCCTGGGGCTTGTCCCTGCAGTGCTATTGGCCTAGCGGTCAGCTTCGAGGAGGAAGTGGCCGAGTTCCGAGCGTTCTTCCTCACCTGGTTTGGCCCACTGTGCACAGCTGTGCCCCTGGCTCAGCCCCGCCCCTTGTGGCCCTCTGATTGCGACTTCCCCATCTCTCTGGGGAGATGCTGTCCCGTGGGTAAGTCCCCCGCTCCACCTGGGTACCACAGTCTCCTGTTACTTTGGGAGGGAGGGGCGGGGCTCATGCTCACTTTTAACAGGTGTGAGACTATGAGTGCAATCTGCTGCTGCCTCCTGCCCTGGGTCTGCTTCCTGTCTCTACATACTGCTTCCCCCCAAGATGTGAGGAACCCCAGGCTGATTCATGCCTCTCTGCCCCACCCCTCCTTTTCTCTAGGACTTGCCCCTGACAGATGTGTATTTATTCTCACCATTGCATTTCTCCCCTGCTTCTGTCATCTGCTTAGGACCTGTGCCCCTGGGTAGCCCACATCACCTGAAACAGGGTGTCTGAAATGCAAACCTGAGAAAGCTCCCTGTTCCCACATGACTTCCCATCTGGCCTCCGCTCCTCTTTCTCTCGGTTTCCTGTCACTTCCCCTCCCCTGCATCATTCATTCAACACACACATGCCGAGCATCTGTTATAGGCCAGGTACTTTTTAAGGTGCTGACAATACTGTAGCAAACAAGGTGGACATGGTCCCTGCTTTCACGGAGCTTCGTTCCAGTGCGAGGTGACAGACTACACAAGGAACCCAATTAATAGGATCATTTCTCAGAAGTGTTATGCAGAAAATGAAACAGTTTCATGTGCTAGTGAGTGACAGTGTGCCGCTGGCATCACTAGCTGGAGCGGTCAGGGAGGGCTTTCCTGAGAAGGTGATGCGGGAGCTGAGACCTGGATGATGAGGAAGAGTCAGCCATGTGGTGATAGTCACGTGCCCCTGGGCGGAGGGAGTGGCGAGTGCAAAGGCCCTGCAGTGGGAACAAAAGAGACAAGAACAGCGCCTGCTGCAGAGTAAACCAGCGGAGAGGGAACAGGGACAGGCAGTTAGGCCTTGCTGGAGTTTGCATCTTACAGTGAAGACCAGCTTGGGGTGGTGTTGTTTGTGGGTTGGTCTCCCCAAGTCCTGCTGGTTCTTCTCACACGTCTGCCCTTCCGGTTTGCACTGCCGCCCCCAGTGCACACCTCGTCACCCTCAGCCCCCTGACAGGGCTCTCATCGAGTCTTCTGGTCCCTCATCCTTCCCACACTCCTGCCACGGCTGTTTTCCTACCAGCTAGCTGGCAAGGCCTCTCCCGGTGCAGAGTCCTTCCTTGGTTCCTCAGCCTGGCCTTGTAAGACCCTCTGCAGCGGGTGCCAGCCTCTCTGAGCAGCTTTGCTCCAGCCATGCCGCTCTGCTCACACCCCAGCATGGCTCAGGCGGCCCTGTGCCTGCCCGCTCGGGGCCTTTGCAGAGGCTGCCTCTGTGGGAACACCAGCCCCTCCGCTTCCATTGTGGGCTGTGCCGGTGCCCTCTGCCCCATCCCCCCGCAGTGCAGCCTCCAGCGGCGCAGTTGGTGCGGTGGAGACGGCAATAGGCTCTGGCATCAGACAGCCTTGATTTGTCCACCTTCCCACTCACTTGTGACCTTGTGCAAGTTGCTTAACTTCTCTGAGCCTTAGTTTTTGTTTCTAAAATTAGGCTAAGACCTACCGAATAGGGTTGGCATGTGGATTAATAATGTAAAGTAAAAGCTGTTGGCACTAAAACCCTACTACTAAACATTAGCTTTTTACATCAGTATTTGGGAAATACTCTTAAGTCCGTTTATCAGGTGGGGATATGAGGCTCCGGGAAGTTTATAATTTTCTAGAAATTATTTCACTTTGTTTGCTCTTCCAGACCACCTATCTTTCTGTATCACCATTGAGCTCTATCTCGACCTTTATCTCCCTGCTTCCCAAGTGAATTTTCTCTTCCGAATGATTGGTTACTTGCTTTTGTAATTCTCAGCCTCCTTGAGCCTGTTTTCCTCCGTTAAACAATAATTCCTACTTCACAGGGATGTCTGAGGCCTAATGGGGTTGTGTGTTTGCAAGTCCTCTGCAAACTCCAGAGCACTTATGTCAAGGGGAGGTGGAGGGGAGGTGGTTACGATTCATTTTTCTGTCAAGGGACAGCAGAGACTGTATATCTTATCCTAGTGTTTGTCTGTCTTCCAGCTTGACTACTTGGCTTCAGAGAAATTCCTGCCTCTTCCATGGGTCAGGAGTTTCTGGGTGCCTGGTTAGTTTCTTCCTGCCAAGTCAGTTTAAACCCCGGAAGGAGAGAGGCCTGTGGCCAGGGTGCAGCAGATGTTTAGTGCCGAGCACGGACCTGCAGTTTCGTGTGTGGTCAGGGTGGTGTGAATGTGTGTGGGTGTTTGCACCGGACCAGGTATGTGTGTAGATGGGCATGGATGATGAGGTGCATGTGGTGGGACCATGTGCCTAAATGGAGGCTTGTATGTGCGTGTATGTGTACTCATCTGTATGTGACAAGCAGCGTGTGCAAGTGTAGGACCAGGAGGCTGGACTTGTGACCACATATGTGAACGGGTACTGATGAGCTTGTTTATCAGACATGTACTCCGTGAGAAACGTGCTCAGCTTTGAACATTCGGAGGCGAGCAAGACTAGCAGCAACTAGAGCAAAGGGCTCTTCCTGCCCCTTGCTGTGAGGGTGTTCATGGTCCTTCAGGGTGGCCGTCCAAGACTGCAGGGGTAGTCAGTGTTAGACCATGCAATAAACAGGCCAAGCAGGTTCCCCAGGGCACCAGAAGGGGGGAGGAGCTCTTTTTAGGGGGGAAAATTGACGTTTGATGTTTCAAAAGATGATAAAGTAGTCATCATAGGAAAAATACACTTTCATTGGGCTTTAACATTTTGTTATTTTTTCCTTATTTTTAATTGAGGTATAGCATACATAAGGTGCATGAATATTAAGAATACAGCCTGATGAATGTCACACTTATACACACCCGTGTATACACCACCCAGATCAAGATTTAGAGCAGTCCCAGCACCTCAGATGTTTCCCAGAAATTGCCATCTCCCGGTCAATTTACTTATTTTTATAACAGCAATACATGCCCATGCTACAACGTTCAAAAAAGTATGAGGGAGAAGTAAACGTCTCTTCCAGCCCTCTCCTCCGGCCACCAGGCCTCCCTCTCTAGGGAAGCCACCAGTGTGAGTTTCTTGTGTCTCCCTGGTGGGGCTTCTTTCCTCTTGTTTTGGCTTGGCAGTGTTTGTGTTGTATGGGGATGACACACTGGGTACATCATAAGCTTTTAGTGTTTAGGGCCTCTCCAGGTCAACCAGCCCTGAGAATATCAGCCGTGGCCGGGACCTCGGCCCCCAGCCTCCAGCCCCCAGGAGACATGCCCCTGGTCAGTCCTGGCTGACTCAGACCAGACCCACTTGGCAAGAACCTACAGCTCAGGCACAGGTGGCCCGACCCAAGGGGGCGGGCGGCTCTATCCCCATCTGCTTTCCTCCCATTCTGTTGCTTGGCTCTGACTACACGGTTAGGGCAGGGCGGGGCAAGGGCCTAGCGACAAGAAGTTGAAAAGTGCGAGTTTGACAGGGCTGTGCAGGGGTCATTTTGTCCATCCCTCTGCCCCAGTGGCACCTGTGCAGTTGTGTTTGTCAGGAGAGGCAAGGGCGCCCCTCACTTTGTCAGCATCTGCACGGCCTTGGCTATTAGGAGTCTCCCCCTCCCACTGCAGCCCCAATGGCCGAGGAGCCTCCCAAGCTCTGTCCTTGAAGCCCCGAGGGCTGGCATGTGGTAGCTAAAATCACAGGCTTTGGAACCAGACCATCCGGGTTTGCATCCCGGCACTGCCACTTACTGACTGCATGACCTCCGGCCACTTCTCTACCCTCCCTGAGCACCACGTTCCTCGTCTGTAAAGTGAGGATAAAACCTTGTCTGTAAAGTGAGGATAAAGATGGTACCTGCTCCGTAGGGCTGTTGTGAGGGATAAGGCAGACAGGGCACGTAGACAACCTTTTAGTACAGTGCCTGGCATACTGAGACTCCATCAAATGACAGTCGTCACTGTCACCATTATTAGTAGCTTGGACCAGGGAAGGCTGTGTGGAAGCAGCTGGAGGAGGAGGAAGAGATGGCATGTGACTGTGCAGGTTCACGTGTAGGAAGCATGAGGGTGCTCCTTGCCTGGAGGGTGCAAGGCACACATGTGTCCTTATTTCGTGTGTTGTCACGTTTGCGGAGGGCCACGCTCCTGAAGCCTCTGACGGCAGACGTGTGGGAAGTGCGCCCCGTCCCCACCCCCACTGCCACCCCGCTCTGCTTGTCTTCGCTCTGCTCTAAAACGAGAAGTACAAGTGAGTTCCCCCAAGGGGTCGGCCGCGCCCCTTCCTGTCCCCGCCCTGCCGGGTGCCCCAGGCCAGTGGAGTGGCAGCCCCATAACCAGGACCGCGGGGTGGTGAGGTGGCCTGGGCGCTGAGAGCTGAGAGCCCTGTTGGAGGCTTAGCCCCCGAGTTCTCTGCCTGCCCCAACCCACTGGCAACACCTCGTTCCTTGTACCCCTTCCTCTCGGGGAGCCCCAAGGATGGTGAGGTAAGGGCCTGGGACCCACGGTAGGCAGGAGGCGAGGGTGCCCTGGGGGCCGTGGGACCTCTCCTTACTGCCCTCCCGGCCTCCCAGGTGGTTTCACCGAGACCTCAGTGGGCTGGATGCAGAGACCCTGCTCAAGGGCCGAGGTGTACATGGGAGCTTCCTGGCTCGGCCCAGCCGCAAGAACCAGGGCGACTTCTCCCTTTCCGTCAGGTAGGTGGCCTCCAACTCCCACCAGGGCCCGTATTTTGGCAGCTCATCCCCGGTTCCCTCATGGCTGTGCCAACTTCCCATCCCCAGCCCGAGCATGTCCCCTGTCCCTGTCTGTGTCCACCCCATCCCTGTGTGTGCCCCACACTCAGGACCTCAGCCCAGCCCCCACCCCATGCCCACCCCTACTCCTGCACCCACTGGCCTCACTGCCTGGTACCCTGCAGGGTGGGGGATCAGGTCACCCATATTCGGATCCAGAACTCAGGAGATTTCTACGACTTGTATGGAGGGGAGAAGTTTGCGACGCTGACGGAGCTGGTGGAGTACTACACACAGCAGCAGGGCGTCCTGCAGGACCGTGATGGCACCATCATCCACCTCAAGTACCCGCTTAACTGCTCTGACCCCACCAGTGAGAGGTGAGGGCCTTCGCACCCTGACCTACCCCCACGCAGAGCGGGCTGGCCTCCACCCCTCGCTGTCAATGCGTCCCCATCCCCGCTCCTTCCCAGGGCTCTGTGGGTCTCTTTCCTCCATGTGATCCTGGGGCCCGGGTCTCAGGGGACTAACTTCCCTCCCCTTTCCATCAACCCTTGAGGAAGCAAGAGAAGGTCACCTCGCCCTTCTCCGGGGTCCCTGTCAGCTGGCAACCCAGGCCCCGCTAGTGACTGCGTTTTATAGCAGGCCAGCTCTGTTATTAGAAAGCTCTTCTTCCTTCTGTGGAACTGAATCTGCCTTCCTGTAACTTTTCCTCCCCCAGTACAGGTTAATACGGAGAGAGGTTGGTGTTGGGGAGGAGCATAGGGACTAACGCTGATGAGGACACTTAATGCCTTATCTCAGCAACCCAGCGAGGATTGTCTGCCCTCTGGGGCTGGGTAGAGCTTGACTAGTCCCTGGACCAGAACACAGATCATTGAAAACTGTGTGATGTGGTCAGGTGTGTAAGGGGCCTAGTACCTGGGCACAGGGTGATACTCAAGGCATTTCCCTCCCATCCCTTTGGCTCCAGAGATGTGGTCCCCAGAACTGGGCTGGCTACTCCCCATGTGGTCTCCCTAAAGCATGGGCCGGGGGGTGGGGGGACCTGAACACTCAGCTTTACATGGAGGCTCATTTTAGCGGCTGCATCTCAAAGACAGCTCCTGCTAAGGTGAAGGGCAGCTGAATAATTCCAGGGGCCTTTTTCATACTCCTGGGGCCAAGCCAACTCTCCCTTGTCTGATATTAGCGTATTGATTATTGAAATGATTCTGAAGCTGATTCTGTCCGTTTTCAGTCTTTCTGAGAGGGATGCCTCCCAACTTGTCTCAGTATTTTTGTTCAAGCCAAGATTAAAACTTAGCACTGGGTGAGGCTGAGGTAAAGGCTGTGTGGCCCACCACTGGAGATCTCCTTCCAGTCAACATGAAGCCACTGATCCACTTCCTTTGAAGCCACCTCCTGTAGGAGTAAAGCCCAAGTGTTGGTGACTTTGCTCATGGTGCTCCTCCTTAGTACTTTCTTACCCTTTTCCTATGCCCACCTGCACACTCATGGAGGTTTGCCACCCAGACCCTCTTGAACTCCTCACGTCCTCTCCCTCCTTACACACAGCCAGGGTCTGCTCTGCTGGGAGAGAATGGGTTGACCCAGACCCTAGAGAAGCAGTAGCTTGTGGATGGAGCTGGAAGAGGGAAGGAGGAGCTGAACAGACCTCCCTGGGGAGCAGCCTGAGGCCTGGGATCAAACTGCTTGGGAGTGCAGGAGAAGGGCAGAGCTGGGGCTGGGGGTGGTGGGTCAAGGAGAGAGAGAATCAAGACCAGGGAAGCCGACTCTAAGAGGCCCTTTTGGTGACCCACGCCAGGATGCCTGGCTCACCCCTGACCCTGGGAGGCTGTGTGGGAGGCTCTTTCTCCAAACCTTCCTTTGTGTTCCCTGCTTGGCTGCTGCCCTTCCTCCTCTGAGGGAATTTGCATTTGTCCCTCAATGGCTAGCTCTCTGCCTGTGGTCAGCCTGGCATTTGCATGGAAACTTCCTCATCCTGGGCCCTGGGGGAAGAGGGTTAGCCCCCTCCCCATTGCCCAGGGGCCCTGGCCTACCCCTGAGTGGTAGGATGGGCTGGCCCACGGGGCACCTGGACAGGGCAGGAGGCTCTGGAGGTCGCCTCTGGGCAGGAGTGAGAGGGGGCAGGACAGACTGGCCCCCTCCCTCCTTCCCCCATCCCTGCGGTTGGAAAATGCCCCCCCTCCCCTGGTCCCTGGGCTGAGGAAACCTCACAACCTCACTTCTCACTCTCTCCCCAGAAGGAGTTTTGTGTTTTTTCCATCACGTGGTTTCCTGTGGGGCTGGGCATTGTGGGGCTACAGTTTCCTCCTGGGAAGGGGGTGTGCTTTGGGGAAAGGTCCTAGTTCTGCTTTCTGCCCCTTTGAGTCCCTCTGAGCCCCGGCCTCCCCTTTAGTGATGTCATCCTGGGCACCCCAAAGCCCCCCAAATCACTCTTTCCCCAGTGGGGTTGTCTGTCTTCCCCACCACCCTGGGGAGTTCTCCCCATCATGCCTCCCTTGTGACTTCCGTCTCTCCCCAGCTCCATTCCCCTTGTGGATTAGCTTCTGTCTGTGTATCTCTTGATCTCCGTTCTCTTTCCCAAGCCTAGCCCTGTCCTTCGTGGAGACCTTGCCTCGGTTTCTCCCCTCCAGATAGCCTTGATATGGCCTGCCTTTCTGCCTTTGACTTAACTTTCAGAGGTGGGTCTGGTTAGAACTCCTGAGGCCTGCCTCTTATCAGCAAGGGCCTTGGGCCAGCGTGTAATCACCCAGCCTCAGTTTCCTCATCTGTAAAGTGGGGATAGTACCTACCTCTCAGCATTTTGTGAGAGTAATGGACCTAAATATGGTGGTAGATTTGAAAGCATCTAGCACAGTCCCTGGTACATTGTAGATACTCAATTTCTCTGCCCCCTGTGAGTGTCTCTTCTTAGTGCCTACCCCTTGGCCTAGGTCTCACCTTCCATGTTGCTGCCTTCTCCAGGTGGTACCACGGTCACATGTCCGGGGGGCAGGCAGAGACACTGCTTCAGGCCAAGGGTGAGCCCTGGACGTTTCTCGTGCGTGAGAGTCTCAGCCAGCCTGGAGACTTTGTGCTCTCCGTGCTCAGCGACCAGCCCAAGGCTGGCCCAGGCTCCCCACTCAGAGTCACCCATATCAAGGTCATGTGTGAGGTAAGGCAGCTGGGCAGTGGGAGAGGCGTCCTCCTGGGGCTCCCATCCGGTTGGTGCCCACAGTGTGGGCTGTGGGGAAGGGTCAGCCTGTGCTTCTGTCCAAGGCTGGGGGTCCAGGGAGGGAGACTCAGGGCCTGTGGGTGGCCTGACTTGGCACCCCTCAGGGCGGACGCTACACGGTGGGTGGCTCGGAGACCTTTGACAGCCTCACGGACCTGGTGGAGCATTTCAAGAAGACAGGGATTGAGGAGGCCTCCGGTGCCTTCGTCTACCTGCGGCAGGTGAGGGGTGAGCCTGGCTGCCTCCTTCCTTCCCCTGAGCAGTCCCCCAGACACATGAGCTTCTGGGATCTCGACTTGCTGACTTCTCTTCCTCCCCCACCCCAGCCATACTACGCCACGCGGGTGAATGCAGCTGACATTGAGAACCGGGTCTTGGAACTGAACAAGAAGCAGGAGTCGGAGGACACAGCCAAGGCTGGCTTCTGGGAGGAGTTTGAGGTGAGTAATGGTGACTAGCAGGGCAACCGGCATGGGGTCCCAGGCAGACCCCATCCCCTCTCTACCACCCCTTATACTGATCTGCGCCGCGTTATCTCCACACGTGGATGCCCTTCTCCTTGTGGGGCCTGGTGCTCCATTTCCCCCTCTTGTCTCTCAGAGCCTGCAGAAGCAGGAGGTGAAGAACTTACACCAGCGACTTGAAGGGCAGCGGCCAGAGAACAAGAGCAAGAACCGTTACAAGAACATTCTCCCGTGTGAGCGCCCTGCACCCAACAGCCTCCATCCCTCCCTCTTCCCAGGCCGTCCATTCACCCAGGAGACTCCCCTGCCCCCAGCCAACCTCCTTGCATCTTATAGGGTCTCTACCCCCAGCTCAAGGAGGGTCCACTCCCCCACCCACCCAACAGAGCCTCCCCTCCTCCAAAAAGCTTCTACTCCTCCCAGTGGAGCCTCTGCGCACCCCCCCCACCCCCCCCTTCGTCTGAAACTTCTACCCCCACCCTACACAGATCCCCCATCCCTGCCCACCCACAGTGCTCTGAGAGCCTCATGTTTTCTGAGACAAGAATGGGCTGTGGGCTGAGGAAGGGTCTGACCCAGGGGTGGTGACTTCCTGGCCCTTCTTGCCTTCTCTCTGCCCACTCCCAGTCGACCACAGCCGAGTGATCCTCCAGGGACGCGACAGTAACGTCCCTGGGTCAGACTACATCAACGCCAACTATGTCAAGGTCAGTGGTGCTGACCAGTCGCACGGAGGAGCGGCTGGGCCCTGGGGATTCCCCATCTCAGGGGGTACCAGGTCCAGCTGATGACTCGGGTGGGTGGGGGGGTGCAGGGCGTGTCCCGGGCCAAGGTGCTCACAGTCCTTCTGTGTGTCTCTCTGCGCTCACATCCAGAACCAGCTGCTAGGCCCTGATGAGAACGCTAAGACCTACATCGCCAGCCAGGGTTGCCTGGAGGCCACGGTCAATGACTTCTGGCAGATGGTCTGGCAGGAGAACACCCGCGTCATCGTCATGACCACCAGAGAGGTGGAGAAAGGCCGGGTAGGGCCCAGCCCAGCGCTGCCCCTGATCTCCACACCCCTCCCCAGCACTTGTTGTCCACCACCATTAAACCAGAGAAACTTTGGACACCAGGGCAGAAAGTCACCTCAGAGGGCGAGGGTCCAACCCTTGTTGGGAAACTGGGGCACAGAGACAAAGTCTTGGGTCCACACCGACTCCCAGATCCCTGCTCCCCACCGTGGGCTCTCCCGACCACCAGACCCAGGTTTTAAACAGGCCTTGTTCCTTAAAGTGTCCTGAAGCGCACATTCCTCCTGCCTCTCCCCCACTGTCCCTATCCAGGCCACAGCCCCTGCTGTCCTCTCTGCCTCAAAAATCTCCCTGGAGTCTGCCCCTTGCCCTCCCCCTCTGCCCAGCAGGTCTCCCTGCACTGGAGTCAAAGCGATCCTGTCCAAAGCACACACTGCATCCCTCTCTGAAAACACTTCAGTGGCTTCCAGGTGCCTTCAGGATAGTCACACTCTAAGGCCTGGCACTCAAGGCCTGGTGGCTTCCCTGCAGCACTCACTGCCTCCAGTGGGCCAGGCTCTTTCAGGTTGCCGTGCCTTTGCACAAGCTTATTTTCTGCTAGGAAATGACTTCCTTTCTCTGCACTATCTCTGCCTGACAGACTCCTTGCTTCTGAAGACCCAGCTCAAATAAATACTGCCTCCTCTGGGAAGCCATCTCTGATTTCCTCCATAACCTAGAGGGAGAATTAGCCTCTCCCTCCGCCATGCCCCGAGCAGCTCTCTGTCTTCCCCGTTCCTCTGTCTCTCTGTGAGCTCCTAGGGGCGCAGGAGCACAGACTGCTTCTGATTTGTTTGTAACTCCAGCCTGATTTGCACAGCTTCAGGTCCTATGCATGTGCCAGCCGATGTTTGTTGAATGAATTGTAAGGTGAAAGGGCTGGTTAGGTCTCCCCACTTATTGGTGGCCGAGCCAAGACCAGATCCTAAGTCTCTGACTCTCGGCCAGTTCATCCACTCATCCAACAAATGTTAACTGGGCCAGCACCAGGGACTAGGGGCCTACAACAGGCCTAGATGGCTGGTGCCAGCTTCTGTGCCTCATTCCTCACCTCCACCCTCCCTTTTCAGAACAAATGTGTCCTCTACTGGCCAGAAGTGGGCAAACAGTGTGTTTATGGACCCTACGTTGTAACCAACTGTGGGGAACATGACACAGCTGAATACAAACTCCGCACCTTACAGGTCTCCCCGCTGGACAACGTGAGTGTCCCCCACCCCTGCCCCATTCCCAAGGCCCCTTCTTGGACCTGTTCTCTCATCTGAGTGGTGGGATGGAGTGACGCATGGGAGCAGGGGGCACTGACCCTGTGTCCTTGGCCCAGGGGGACCTGGTTCGGGAGATCTGGCACTACCAGTACCTGAGCTGGCCTGACCACGGGGTCCCCAGTGACCCTGGGGGTGTCCTCAGCTTCCTGGACCAGATCAACCAGCGGCAGGAAAGTCTCCCTCATGCAGGGCCCATCATTGTGCATTGCAGGTGAGAATAATAATAATGGCATTAGTAGTAATAATAAAAATAGTAGCTGGCAAGTAAATACTGCTAAGTGCCATGCACTGTTGTAAGCAGTTTACATACTAACTTGTTTAATGCTCTCTACCACCACCCTCCCAGCCTCTTCTGGGTTCCCTGATGGCTTCAGACCCATGGGTGGAACTTAGCCAGGCCAACCCCACTGTTGGATCCTATGCCTGGGGGTTTCCTCAGAGACTTCCCCGGATGTACCATCTAGTCCAACCCTGCCAAATACAGATGAGGAAACTGAGGCCTAGCAACTTGCCAGGTCACCAGCTGGTCAGCGGGAGAGCCTGAACTGGTGCTCACAATAGACTTAGGTCCTGGTCACTCCTGTTTTTTCCTGTGGGCCTACTCAGCCTGTGTTTCTTCTCAGCCTCCAACACCTTCCCTCTGGGGTCAGTGTGGCTCCCCATCCCTTCTCTTTTTCCGTTTGTAGCCCTGGGGGGCTCGGCTTCTTCATTGCTTCTCCCTGTCTCTCCCTTCCCAGCGATGCCCATCGACTTGGCCCCAGGGTTGAGTAGGGATGGGTGATGTCTTCAGGAGGGGCACATGCAGCACCAGCTCCACTGGAGACCCTCATGTTCATGATCAGGAGACCCCATTTCTGCTAAGGTGGGCAGGCCGGGGGTCAGCAAGGAGGAGCAGGGGTCCTGAGGGGTGGAGTCCTGCAGACGGGCCGACCCAGCCGTCCTGGCGTAGGTGGATGGGAGGTAGAGGGCTCAGGGTCCTGGACGGAGGCCGCTGGTTTAAATTCCAGCTCCTCCAACCACTCGCTGGCTGTGTGACCTTGGACAAATGACTTAATTTCTCTGAGCCTCAGATTCCTCATCTGTAAGGTCAGGACCTCACAGGGTTGTTGTGAGGATTAAATGAGGCCCTATCACTGTGCCTGGAAGACAGTAAACCCAAAAGAAATGGGAGCTGTTCACGGTTTACTAATTCGCTTCAGGCAGGAACAGGGAAATGGGAACCTGCTTTGTCCTCTTCCCTCCATGTGACCCCAGGCTGTGAGGGCCTCAGACTTCCTCCTTCTTCCCACTGGCAACTGTTGGTCTTGGGGCAGGGCTGGGTGGGCTGACTCTGGAGGTGCTCCCACATGCTGTCTCAGGGACTCTGCCTCCAGGGCAGGCCCATGGCCAAGGACGACCCTCCTGCTGCACCCCCCTTCTTGAAATCCCCATGGCCTTTATTTAGACATTACAGGAAGGAAGTGGGTGAGGGGGGGTTATTTTTGACAATCTGGGTTTGAAATTAGACAGCACGACTGAGGGCACCATCCTGACAGGCCCAGCTGAGGGGGCTGGACTGGGGTCTCTGTGGGGTCCTGAGGTTCCTGGGGTCTGTTTGCCCCAAGATGGCGGCAGAGGGTGGGAGAAGGGAGACTTCCTACTGCTACTCCTCCAAGTCTCCTGACCCCGGTGCCCCTGCACCCACTGTTTCAAGGGCTGCCCTTTCTCTGCCATTGGGGTCTGAAGAAAAAGGGAAATGAAGCTGTGCGGCAAGAAGCTCCAAATATAAGTCTTGAAGGGCTGAGGGAGGTCTGGCTCAGGCCAAGGGTGTGCGGGAGGGCCAGGGGAGGCCCACTGTGCCTGGGGAGCAAGCAGGACGGTGCTGGGACTGGAGATCCTAGATTCTGGGGTGGGGGGCACAGCCACTGGCCAGGAATGAGCATTCAAGCAGGAAGTGGAGGAGCGTGGTGCTGGGAAGAAGGAAGTGTTGGCGGTGTCTGGGGACACCAGCACCTTAGCGCTCGAGAGCCAGGCCCTTCCTCACAAATCCCTTGGCTGAAGTGATGAGCACGGGTGCAGAGTTGGGTAAACTTCTGCCCCTTGCTTGCCTGCCCAGTGACCCTGGGCATGGTATCTCATCTCGCTGGAGCGTCAGTTTCTTTATCCCTTGCCCCATGCTGGAGCTGAGTGCTGGGGCTCCCCCTTCCTGGTGAAGTGTGGACTGGGCCTCTGAGGGCACCCCCTTCTCTCCTCAGTGCGGGCATCGGCCGGACAGGCACCATCATTGTCATCGACATGCTCATGGAGAGCATCTCCACCAAGGGTGAGGGTTACTTGTGGGGGACCCAAGTGGGGAGTGGATGGGCATCCCCCTGGTGTCCACCTCTGTCTGGGCCTGAGGTCCAACTGCTGTCTCTGCCCAGGGCTGGACTGTGACATTGACATCCAGAAGACGATCCAGATGGTGCGGGCGCAGCGGTCAGGCATGGTGCAGACAGAGGCACAGTACAAGTTCATCTACGTGGCCATTGCCCAGTTCATTGAAACCACCAAGAAGAAGCTGGAGGTCATGCAGGTGCGTGCAGAGCAGGGCCTGGCATGCGGGGGGTGGGGGACATCACCTGGTCCTGTGGGACCACCACCCTCCCACCACACCTCTGCCCACAGTCCCAGAAGGTCCGGGAGTCAGAGTACGGGAACATCACCTACCCCCCAGCCATGAAGAACGCCCATGCCAAGGCATCTCGCACCTCCTCCAAGTGAGTGACCCCGCGTGCCACCTCACAGTCAGCCCCTTTCTCCTCCCCGCCTGACCCTCCTCTCCACAGAGGACAAGTGCTGCTGTCGGGAGACCTGGGTTCAAGTTCACGCTTGGTTCTTACTCCCTGTGTTCACAAGTATTTCCTGAGTCCCCTCTGCGTGGGGCCTGTGCTGGGTACTGGTGTTATACTAATGTATGCAATGGAGCCTCTGCCCCACCAGACAGGAGCTTCTAGTCTAGCGTAAGGACAGTGACCAGGTCTCCTTGCTTTCCTGGCTTCAGTTTGCTCGCCTGAGAGATGGGGTGGCCCAGAGGGGGCTGCTGGTGCTGGGTAACCCTGCCCTGTCTCCTGACCTGTGCTGGCTGCCCATACTTGCCCACCCCCCCTGCAGACACAAAGAGGATGTGTACGAGAACGTGCACAGTAAGAACAAGAAGGAGGAGAAGGTGAAGAAGCAGCGGTCAGCAGACAAGGAGAAGAGCAAGGGTTCCCTCAAGAGGAAGTGAGCCGGGTGCTTCCTAAGGTGGCCATGGTATGGCCTTTGCTCTGCCGGGGGCTCCTCCCTGCCCTGCCCTCGTGTCCCTGGCTCTGGTGCTTCCCCTGGATGGATGGGTAGCTGTAGCCTCACCCTGCCTTTCCCAGCCATCCCAGACCTGCTGCTTCCTGAGGTTCCAGCCACCCCTGACTCCCTACCTCCCCTCTCTCTGCAGCTGCAGCCCTGATTCCTATGGAGGCCTCCAGTGAATGGATGACCCACAGCCTGAACCTAGGAGCCCGCTCTCATTCTGTTGTAATTTAAATGGCCGTGTCCCCACCTCCCTCTCCCTGACCCTGTGTATAGCCCAGCAAGGCCCCAGGCAGGGCCGGGCCCTTCTACTCCTGTAAATAAAGCCCCTAGGATCCCTGTGTGTGGGTCTCTAACTCTGTGTGCCTGGGCAGGAGGGGCAGAGGGGGATGGAGGGGAGGTGGGCAGGGAGTGGTGTGTGTGGACACGGGAAACCTCGGCCTTCACAGTCAGACAGAGCTGGTTCTGGACTCTGCTTCACATACTAGGAGTGACTCCCATGGGCACTTTCCTTAGTCTCTTTCCTTTAAAGTGGAGGATGGTCCTCGCTGGGTGCTTGTGAAAATTGAGATAAGGGACGATGATCACAACTGGCAACAATAACTCATTGCATACTTGCCACGTGTCAGGCATTGTTTAAACGCTACACGTATTAATTCAGTGTAGGTACCTGTGTCGTTCCCATTTTATGGTGGGGGAAACCCAGACATGGATAGACAATAACTTGCTCAAGGTCACAGGACTATTGAGCACTGAAGCTAAGATTTTAACTCAGGCCCTCTGGCTCCAGAGCCCACACTCATGGCGGTGCAGCCGAGGTCACCCCAGGGGGACACAACCACACACCCCTGGTGCTGACTTCTAGATCCAAGAGCTAAGAAGATCGATAAAGGCCAGGAAGCCCCGGTCTGGCCTTCCCTCCAGCCCTGGGCTCCTGCGGGCTCACGGGAGCACCCTCCCTCCGCGGGGGCCTCTGCTGCCCTTCCACTCCAGTCAGAGTTTTATTTTTCGTCCCCTCTGCCTTCCCCTGTGTCCAGAGTGGACTACGGTGATTCCTTCTCTGTGTTTGGCTTTCTCTTGATTTAAAATGCTGTCTCCCGGGAGTTAAGCCTGTGAGTCCTGCTCAGGAAGGACTGGCTCCCTGCTGCCAGAGATGCTGAGTGGGCGCGTCCTGAAGCAATGTAGGCCTGTCACTCCTTCAGTGTATACTGTCTTTATGGAGTGTCCACTGTGTCACAGGCACTGGAGCAGGGCTGGCGGTGTGACAGTGAATAAGACAGCTCAGTGGAACTTAGGAGGCTGGGAGGGGAGACAGACCCAGAAACAGTCCACAAACATAAAACAAGTACATCAGGTGTTAGGAAGGATGCAAACAAAGGAGAGACACGGAGAAAGAGGGTGGGGGTTGAACTCTAATTGGGTACCGCCATAGCTCCCTGGAGCTCTCGCCCTCCAGGGGGTGGGAAGGTGGGGCGCTAACCTGTGGGCCCCCCCCCAACCTGTGGGCCTCAGGGCCCCTCTCCCAGCAACACCGTTTCTATCCCAGCCAGAGCTGCACAAAAGAAAGCAGGTCCCACTCCCTCTAACCGCCCTTGGGCTCACTGCCCAAGGCACTGAGGGGGGTCCAGGAGCGCTCTGCCTGGCGGCTGCTCCGGTTTCTCCGAGGGGCAGGGCTGCTCCGAGGGGCAGAGCGCAGGGAGCAGAGCAGGTCATTCCTCCCTGCAGCATTGCTGTAAGGGCTGAAGGAGGGCAGCTCGGGCCTTTAACTGGCCGGGTCAGTGCTGATGCTACTGGGCAGCTCAGGCCTCTCGGCAGGGCCAGGCACCCCAACACTAGGGCTGAGGACCCAGAGGTGCCCTGCTGGGACCTGCCTGCCCTCCACAGGCAGGGATGCCCAGCACAGGCCAGGCATGGGCGGGGGCACAACCCAATCCCTGCTGAGCTGACCCCTCACTGACCTCAGGGATCTCTGGGCCTCCAGGTCTGGCCGTGGGCTGGGTCTGAGGCCTCAGAGGAAGGGGCTAGCTGGGGGCAGGAGTGGCTGTGGGGAGAGGTGTAGGAGGAAGGCAAAGGGGTCCCAAGACAGCCCCTCCGTTTGTCTCTCTGGAGACCAGGCTCCCTAGTTGAGGCCCCGGGGGGGCTGAGGAGGCAGGTAAGAGAGAAGAGACCGCCGCCGGGAAAGGGTGGGAGGCCTAGCGCGGTGGCCAGGCCTCAGAGGAGGCGCCTGTGGCTGGCCCAGGGAGGGAAGGGGTTAAGGCAGTGGGGGGTCAGCCTATGGCAGGAGGACACACCTGTGCGCAGGGGCGGCGGGCGGGGCCCAGGTGAGGAGCCTGCGCTGCCTGGCAGGCGGAGAAGGAAGGAGGAAGAGCAGAGGCCAGGGCGGGCCCTCGGCCCTTGGATCCTAGGCCTTGGCTCCCCTTACTCTCCTCGACACTCACTCTCTGGGGGGCAGGCAGCCGGCTGACAGGTAAAGGCCACCCGGAGAGGGGTCCTGGGGCTGAGCTAGGGACTGCAGAGCCGGGGTGAGGGCTGGCGCATTGGTGTGTGTCGGGGGCAGGGGCAAGCCGTGGGGGTGGTGGGGGAAGGGGCTCAGAGGCCAAGAACAGATGGGCAGGGGGCTGCTGAAGCCCTGCGTGGGTCTCAGTGGATCAGCAAGCAGGGTGGAGCTGGTGGCGGGCTGCAGGACTCGCCCGGAAGTGTCCCCAGGGACGCGAGTGGTGGGGGGATGGGAGCCAGGGTTCTGCAGCCTCTCCACAGGGAGCCTGGGCCTAGAACTTCCTGACCTGGAGGTGGGCAGGCTGGGTGGGGGCCCCCGTCTTACCCAGCAGTGTTTGGGTGCTGCTTGGGAGTCTCTAATACTGCCGGGTAATGATGGAGGCCTCTGTCCCTGTGTCAGCGACATCCATGGCCTCAGGCCTCCAGCCCCCAGCTGCAACCCCCACTCTGGAACCTCCCCACACACCCTGAAAGCCCCTTCATCTTGAGAGGAGGGTGCTGCAGAAGAGGTGGCTCTCGGTTGGCTGGCTGCCCACTGAAGGGACACAATGGCCCCGAGCCCCTCCCCCAACCCAATGTGATTTTGTCATCTGGTGGATCTCAGAACCCACAGCTGACCTTGAGCTTGGGATTGGCTCAGGAACTCTCAAGAGACCTCACCTGGCCTGTGGCCAGGGTCCCTGTAGCAACTGGTCAGCTCTAGCCCGGAGCTGCGTGTCGGCTGGCTCTGGGTCCATCTTCCAGTACAGTGTTGGATGGTCTAATTGTGAAGCTCCTAACACTGTCTGGTAAAGATGGCCCCCGGGCCAGTGCCCTCGGCAATGACCTCCAGGGAGCCCTGAAGACCGTGGAGACCTCCTGACCATCAACCTCTGAATTTTACCCCTCTGGATGGGGGAAAATCACTAGGAAAAGGGGAACAATAGGGAGGAGACAAAATGGCTGCCTCTGCAGCTGCGGCAGGATTTGGAAACATTCTCGTTCTCCAGGCATCTCCCTTGTCTTCCTGCCTTTGGGACATGAAAGAAATAAAGTGTGACTAGGAGCTCATGGCAGGCTGATTCAGGTCACTTGACGCCTCTTTGGTCTTATTATCCATCTCATTTTAGGCTCCCAGCTCCTGAGGACTGGGACTGCCACATCTGCCTCACCTTCCTGTCCCTTTCACAATATTCAACCTGCTGAGCAGGGGAAAATTAATCTACTTTCTCCAAAAATCTAAGAAGCTGAAAATGAATCCAGGCCCTAACCCTCTAAGACTCACCTCCTCCCCTACCTACCAAGCGTTTGTAATTCCTGTGCATACTTTTGCCCTCCGCACTGTCTTATGGTTCCAAACGTCCCTTGTCTCCCCAAAAGGACAAGGGATGGGAAACAGCGGCTGTAGTGGCATGCAGGAACAAGCAGTGGCTTCATGTCTCTGGTGCTTGAGATTCAGCGAGGGCTGTCTTGGGAAGGATATGAGACGGCTTATGTAAAGACTAAAGACAGGCACCTGTTCTGGTGGGGGCCAGAGCTGCATGAGTGAACAGCTCACCTCCAAAGGTAGAGCTCTGTTAATGCATCTGGTGACTGCGAAATTGAAAGTGCGGGTAGCCCAAAGCAGGCAACACGATCCGCTGGGCTTTTGAACACGTAAGTCCCTTGATGGACACAGATGGTTTCCCCCAGAGCTACATGGAACCCTGCCACCAAGGAAGCGGCTACGTTGGGGTCATCAGATTTTTGGTCTAGCTCAGCAAAGCCACAGCTGTTCTAGCCTTAAAAAAAAGGAGATGTTGGTATACAAATGGGGTGATGTGGTACAAACAGCGGGTGGGGTGAAGAGTGCAGCTGGGCCTCAGGATCTGAGGGCCTGCTGTCCCCAGCTTGGGTCCTGTTTTGGATCTGACTCTGCTGGGCTTCCAAGGTGAGCTGCAGGGCCCCGGCTCTGCTCTTCCGTACCTGTCCTGGCCAGTCTTTGCTCCCCCTGCTGGCAGATTCAAAGAAAGACCCAGGAGCGTGTAACATGAGCACGCATGCGTGCCTCCCCAGCCCAGCTCAGACACATGAAGCTTTGACTTCAGCTGAAGTAATAAAAATTTATTGAGAATTCCTGGGATGGTGGTTATCACCTTCCAACCTTGAGTACGAAATCACTGAGAAATAACACACTGTCCCAATACCCCTGGCCCACACAGGGAGGAGGGAAGTCATTCCCGTGAAAATGGATCAGTCATCCTTCATCTGAGAAGGGCTGGGAGGACAGAGGCAGAGGGGACCATCACATGATACTGGGGGTGGGGTGGGGGTGTGCTGGACCCCGAGCTGGCTCCTCAAACACCAGGGGAGAAACAGATCCACTTCTCTGGGGGTGGAGTTCTTGGTTACCAGGTTCATTTCTTTCCCTTGATGAGGCTGTCACTGTGGAAACAAGACAGATGGATGACATTAAGGGACACAAATGTGAGAGGCAGAGCACCTCATGCCACTCCCTCAACTACCTTCCCCCAGATGAAAGTGTGTGTGTGTGGGGGAGAAGGGTAGAATGGGAGGTCAGAAAGGTGAGGTGTGGGGGAGGTGGCAGGAACCAGGAGATGAGCTTCAAGTCCCCATAGAAACAAGGGTGCATCAACACTTTACCTTCCTCTGTGGACACCAGGTCACCAGATGAACAGGAAACACAGAAAGAGAAGAGAAAGGCACACATGATTTGACAGCTTCAGGCACCACCCAGCTCTAAACCCTCCTTTGCTCCCAAGAGAAAAAGACAAATGGGTCAGAAGCCAGGAATCTCAGGCTCTGGAAAGGAAGAGATTGGGGCTCTTGGCCACACCATTGCTCACCTCTCCTCTCCTAGAGTCCTTT